TAAATATTGTATAAATATATTATTTAATATATTTTATATAAATTTACCATTGATACCACAAAACATTATCCCCATGGCTGTAAATACTCCTACAGTCTAAAAAGAAATAAACAAAATTTAATCACTTTTTTTTTTTTTTTATTATAAAAATTATTTATTATATTATTATTTTTTTTTTACCTGAAGGCTATCAGCTGGCTTTAAACAATTTGGTAGTTCAAGATAAGGCGTTATAGAACACATCGGATCAGGTGCTGGTCCAATATAACCAAGGTCACTTGTTGCCAAAGAAACAAACGTTCCACAACCAAGATGTAATAATAGATCCATCAAAAATCTTGTTCTGTTTCGATATATTTGTAAACATGCTCTTTTAAATAAAAGTAAAAATGATATAAAAACATTCGGCGTTGAACGAACAGAATCTTTCCAAACAATAAGTCCTTTAAGAAAATAAAAAAATTCTTTTCCAATATCTTTCGCGTATCGACGGGAATCGCGAATATTTTGATAAATTGTATCAATTTTTGCAGAAAATCCTGTCACCTTTCCGAGTTTTGGTGATCTATTATCATCATAAGGTTCAGGTTCAGGATTAATTTTAATAATTGGTGCTTGATAATAATTAATTGGTGGTGTTTGATAATAATAATTATTAGGTGCTTGATGATCTTGATAATAACTATAATTATTAGTTGTTGGTGCTTGATAATCTTGATAATCATTAATTAGTGCTTGAAAATAATTAGATGAAGCTGAAGCTCCTTTGAATTTTACCCATGAATTACAAGCAGGATATTTTTCGATTAAATTATAAACTGGTGGGTTTTCTGGTTTTACTAATAAACAAAAAATTATATTAGTAAATACAGTAATTTTTGTAAATATATATTAAATATATATTATTATTTGTTTATACCATTTCCTGATGCTACATCCATCATAAAATCAGGTTCACTAGAAAAATAAATGAATGAAATTATTGAAATTATTAATAAAATTAATAAAGTTATTTGAAATTTCAATAATTATTTCCAAAATACCTTTCACCGTCAGGAAAAACAAATCCATTATCAATAAAATATTGCATTGCTTTATCCCGTGGTCCGGAATATACAACTATTCCTCCTTTACCCAACAACATAAGATCATCAAACATTTTAAAAGATTTTTCTGATGGCGAATGAATAACGGCTGCAACTGTTATCCCTTGATCATGCGCAATGCTTTTCAATAATTTACATACATCAAATGATGTTGCTGAATCTAAACCTGATGTTGGTTCATCCTATAAATAATTAATATATATATCAATAAAAATTTTAATTTAAAGTAATGATAATCTTTTAATTTTAATGATAATTTTTATGAATCTTACTAAGAAAAGGACAGATGGTTCTGCTACAAGCTCCATTCCAATATTTGTGCGTTTCCTTTGACCACCCGATATACCTCGTGATACTATTAGGTGAATTTTTTTATTTATTTTTAATATACATATACATATATTTTTTCGCCAATATAAAATAAAGAATGGAAATTACCTTCATCACCAATAGCGGTATCCATTACCTTACTCAATCCCAAAAATTTAATAACATCAATAACTTTTTGTTTCTTTTTCTCACGTTTCATTTCTGTTGGTAAACGCATTAGTGCGGAATGCTAGATATTTTGATTTTTGTAAAGTAAATAAAAATAAACTTGAATAAAATTTAGATAAAATTAATTTAGATAACAGATCAAAAATTTAACATACCACCAAAATTTCGCGTATCGTTAGTTCTCTGAGCATTATATCTAAATTAAAAATAATATTATATTTATTTTTCTCTTAATTAAAAAATGGATATGATATAAAATGAGTATTATTAATCAACCTTCTTGAGGTACGAATCCAATAAGTTTTCTGTAATAGTCTAGAGTTGACTTTTGCTCAACTATGTAGTAAACGCATGTAAATTTTATTAGCATTAAAATTTGAGTATAATTTAGTATTATTAAGTACAATTGAGTATATATTATATACCTTCTATTCCATCTTTATATTTTTTTACAATTATTTTTCCATTGGTTTTTCTTGCTTTTCCCGTCAAAAGGGAAACTAATGTGGTTTTACCAGCACCTAAAAACAAATAACAATATATAAAGGTTATTTATAAATTATATTAATAATTATTAACAATTGTTTATTGATATTTTAAAGAATTTTAAATAACAAACCAGATGGTCCCATGATCGCACACGTTCTGCCATGATTAAGTGATCCTGAAACTCCCTTAAAGATAATTTTAGTTTGAATATTTAAAAAAAAAGAAAGAAAGAAAAAGCAGTAATATGAATATAATGAAATATTAATTATGATTAATTAAATTAAAAAATTACCTTCATAATTTCGGTGCCATCAGGTAAAACCAAACCTAAATTTTCAAATTTAATATCAAATGTTTGTGAAACGGGATCTAAAGGTTTTTCACTATTTTTAAATCTGGGTTCTTCTAATAATCTCCTATATTTTTTATCCTTTTGATCATCTGCTCTCTTTTTGAATTGGAATATTACTAAGATTAATAATATTAAGAACGCTACTAAAACTCCAATAAAATAATTATTAGCAGATGTTGATCCGGGTGGACAATAAGCCATATAATGACAAAATGGTGGATCCACAGTTCCTATATTTATTAAAAAAAATATACGTAAAAGAACTCGCAAAGAAAGGCACAACAAACCTGATCAAATATTTTTCTTACCTAGGGCGCAGAAGTGACCTATTATAAAATATTATAAATAAAAATATTGTATAAATAAATCAAAAACAAAATAAAATAAAAATGAAAGGCCATTTTATTAAATTATTCTTTACCTTCAGGACAAAGTTCGATTGTTTTTGGAGTTTCACAATAATAACCTTCACAACAATAAACGGGCTGTGCTATTTTATAAAAAATTATTTAGTAAAGTTATTTGACGAGTGACGCGAAAATTTAGATCAAGAAAAAATTTTCATAATACATACCACCTATTTATATATATTGGATGTGTTTTATATTTTGGCATTTTAATTATTTATTTAATTTATGAGCGTAAGGTAAAAAAAATATAATAATTATACTAACTATTTTCTGGACAATAAAATCCATCAGGACATGGGAATTTTGATGAGTTCCTCGGACTGAGACAATAATATCTATAGGGAATAATAATGAAGTTATTAAATTTATTAAATAAATAAATTGAATTTTAGAATAAGATCAAAAATCTTTAATTCTTTATTTACCCAGCTTCGCAGTCCCAACTAACGCTTTTATTTTCGTAAGGACGTGGTGTGGAAATGTAATAGCATTCATCAGAAGGCTGGAATATTTTAATTTATTTATAGTTTAATATTTAAAATTTAATTTATAAAGTTTAATTTTAAACAGTTAATCGTCATTTAATATTATTATCATTTGTTTTTTACCCTAGTTCCATTAGCAAGTTGCTTTGAGATTAAAATAGCATATACCCGAGGATCCAAATAAGTTTCAGAAACAGGAACTGGTTCCGGAGGAAGAACCGGAATAGGAATTGTTGGAACACGTTCTTTGCATGATACTTTATTTGGGAATAAAACGAATAAACAAATTATCATCACCCATTTAGAAAGAATAATTGATCTCGTCATTTTTAAAATTTTTGTTGATAATTATATAATTATAAACAGTTTTTGTAATTATAATATAATATTATCTATATATTCATATTTTTTGGTTGAGCTTCTATTTAACTTTGTCAACCTGATAAAGTAAACTTTTATTGTTGTTATAAAAAATCAGAGAAAAATGGTTTACTTTATACTTTTCAAATAGATTTCTCTGTCACACGATTCTTTGAATTAATTGTTAGACTTTTTTTATAAAAAATCATTAATATTATTGAAATATAAATGCACATTTTTTAAATGTATTAAATAATTTATAAAATGATGACATCGATAAATATTATACAATTAGGTTTCCCTATTGGATGCTTATTCTAATAATTAATAATTAATTTTTGAAACAAATGAAAAGGGAGACTTTTTTTTCGGGTAAATATCATTTCTTATTTAGCATCTTTTTGTGTTCTACTAATTAGCGTAGTTTCCATATTAGGTTCTTCTAAAGTGTTGTGGTGAAAATCTCCTATTATATTGACTTAGAACACAAACTTTTTTCTCTTTTACTATTTATAATATTGACTGGATTATTCAAATCCTGAGGATAAACATCATTGCGAGAAATTCCTTTAAATTATTTAAATTTCACTTATTTAATTGCCGATCCGTATGATAATTATTATAACTGTTAATCACCATGTTTAAACCAATAAAATTCAAAATTTACATAAAAAATTTATTTTTAAAATTTCGAAAATTAATCTCGTATCGATTGTTGCTACATAAATAAGTCTTTTACTTGCTAATTAAACATCAAAAATGTTATTTATGAACATTAAAGTTAAGAAAGGCATCGGCTGTAAAATTTACACCCCCGTTACTTTAAAATTAACTAAATAATAAGTGCTTAAACTTTTTACAATAATTTTTGAAGTTTTAAAATATTATTTGGTCAATGTTAAAGTAATAGGCATGTAAACTTTTATAGTCTATTCAACTTATTATTAGCTTTAATATTTCTTAATAGCATTTTTGATGTTTAATTAGTTTTTTTTTTTTTTTTAACCATCGGGGCTTTGATGTTTGATTAGTAAGTAAAGACTTACCTATGCAGCAACTATTAATACTTGTTTAATTAGTAATTAAAATTTATAAAATTTGTAAATATTAATTTAAATATCAAAAGTATTTTTAAGTAACCTCAAACTTAAGAACAAAATGCATATTTGTAAATTTTACACGACTGTTAATTTTATTTTGACCAAATGAAAAGTATTTAAATTTTAAATTATTGTAAAAAATTTACACAGGTCGAGGCAGGAGATACTCAAATAGATTAAGCAAAAAAAAAAAATTTTCCGATTTTTGTTAATTTTAAATTAATGGGCGAATTTCGATATGATTCCTAAATTTTTGATTTTAATATATCAACATTTGATACTTTTAAAAAAAAAACTATCTTTTTATTTTCTCTTAATTAAAGTTGAAATGCTACTCCAAAATCATCAAACGATAATAGTAAACATTTATCTCGTGATAAATTTTAAATTTTCTATTATTATTTTAGCTAGTTCCAATCAATTTTCAAGGAGATAGTTAAATATAAAGAGTAAATTTTTGTAAAATCAGCACTTTATTAAATTTTCAAACGCGAAGATCATGTGATTTTTATATTTAGTTCGAAAGTTTGGAGTTCTACAGTGTAGATCTCTTATAATAGGAACTTGGTTATAATAAAAATTGCTCAGTCTTTTTGTATTATTAAAAACTTTATTTACTATATATAGAAATAAAATTTTAACCGTTGTTACTATTTTTTTTTTCTTCCTCTTCTTATTCGGCTCGTTTTTATATCCGCGCTTATAACCGTCACTCCCCGTTACCTTCTATTTTCGCCTCTATAATCCTCCTTTATCTGTCACCGCCCTCTTTATTGTTCTCTTTATCTTTCTTTAACTATGATTTTTGTACTTACCTCTATTTTATATCTATTTACCCATGTTAATTCACTTACCTCAACCCTTGCTTTAATTTCGGTCCCTTTGCTGTGCCCTCACTCTCGAAACCGCCCTTGTTATTATTATTTTTCTTCATTTCTTCGTCCTTATTTGTGATTTTTATCTACTGCTCCGGTCACGTGCAACGTGATTCGAATATAATGCGGACAAATCGCTGAAATGTTTAGAAAGGACCACTACACCAAACTATTGAAATCCATGAATGCCACCACCCCACTAGGACCACTCCAGCTTAGCAAGGCTGATTTATCTTTATTTTGTTATTATTTTTTTTTCTTTTTCTTTCTTTTTATTTCTACCAATATGTAATTAACTGATAAATTAATTTATATTATTAGAATAGTTTCTAAAATGTATGGTGCAAACGGCTTAGTCACATCCAATAATTTTTAATAATTTTAAAATGCAAATGAATTTTATACAATTAAGGAAACATTAAAAAAATGGGTAGTTTTGTAGCTTTTGACATTATCATTAAAATTACGTATTTTTTTTATTTATTTTATTATAAAAATTTTTTGTAGTTACATTTTTTATGATAGCAATTTTAATAGTAGTTGAATAATTTTCAGCATCCCGGAAATCATGTGTCGGGGATATCATTGGCCAATAAAATCATATGCTCGTGTATGATTGGCTAGCTATAATTATCACATGTCTCCAAAATGTTTTCAGAAACCCGATGATGGAACCAATACTGTTTAACAGCAAAAATAGCTGCTTTACTTGAGAGTCCAAGTTCATAAGCACTCACGTAACATGCAGGATGATGTGCAAACTGGCAAATTTTTTTTTGTTAAACTAACTGAATTTAATGCATATAGAACAACTTCTTTGAGGCCATTAAATGTATGCATGCCACCCAAATCCCAAATTATTTTGACATTTTGGCTGCCAAAATTCAGTTTTCATAGTATTTGGAATTTGGCAATTAGTAATTTGGGATTTGGGATTTAGCATTTTGAATTTGGGTGGCACCTATAATTAAATGAATAAATGCAATGAAGACATGAATACCATTTTGTTTTAGCCCAAAAAGATTCAATATAATTAAACTCACAGTGGAACTTTGGATAGAATATACACATATGCCCTGATGCCTCAATAACCTAAAGGTAAGTATTTTTAATTATCTATATTGAAATAATTAATCAATTTATTAATTACAACTTGTCTCTTGAAAATGTATTTTTTGTGATACGAAGTCAGGTTGAGCAGAAAGGATGTAAGTTGCACAACAGTCTAATTTAACTGAATCAGAATTATGTTGTGTACATGTATTGCATTTCTTTTTTAATCCTGGTATTTATAAACTACGCTCCTCAAGAATTTGTTAAATACCTTTAGGCTTGATTACACCATTACTGTCTATAAATATTATGATGTGAAATAAACTATCAGATATCTTACCATTATGAAGAAGTGGCTATTTTTCACCATCTTTCATGTTCATTCTTGAAACCAATAATGCATCATCTATAAATACATTGTAATTGCAACTGTTGTTAAACAAAAACAATGTAACTTTTTTCAGATGAGTACATTCAAATATTGGAATAGCTCACTTTTTTACTTGTTTTATGATATCTTTATTTGTTCACCGACTATCACGATTTGTATCAGAATACATTATAATGCAGGCTTTAGTATATTTGAATTGTTTGTTATCTGATAATGAATTATTAATTGCACATTTTTCTTTTGAAAACAGAAGTTACCCAATTAATTCATAAAGAAATTTACGCATATAAATGTTGAGACCTTGTAATTTTTGACAAAATTGATTTTCATTTGCTGGACCTTAAACCTTGATAACATTATCATTGGCATAAAAGATTAACTCATTATGAGTAACGGGAACAATTTCAGGAACACCATATAGAAGGACAGATAAAATAATTTGTTTTAAATTTTTTCTCTCATAAGTAACTATTCATTTTCATAATTCTACCCATTGTTGTAAAAATTGTTCTTATCTTTTATCACATTTTCACATTTGTGACCATCAAAATAAATATTTTTAGATAGTTTTTGTATTTTCAACTAAGTAGGTGTAACCATTTACATGTGGTGCAATATAAGATATAGGTTTTTTTTCTATTCCAAGAATAGAAATCATCTCATTTTCATTAAATTTAACAAAATTATCAATTTTCAACTTGAATTTATATGCATATAAATAATTAATAACTCATAACTTGAGATCTTTGTGAAGAAGAAAAGATCCAATCTTTGCATGATAACCACATTTTGACATAATAATTATACCATTATTAAGCTATTAATTTATTTAGGAATGAATAAGCTATACCTGCTATGGACCTTTATTTAAGCTTTAAACAAGAAGATTATTACATCTATCTTGATAAATTTTTGATCTCGAACTAGATGAAAAAATTGACTTACAATTTGAAGTCAAAAATCTTTTTTTTTTCAATAAAGTATTCAGAATTCTAAATTAAATTTATTATTATTATCACTGTTGTATATATCTTTAAATGTGTAATCTGTATTGGATTCAATTACTGAAAATATTTCAATAATTTTTATAAAATCTGAAGCAGCTTTACTTCAATAAGTTCTTTTAATATACAATATTGATGATACTGTATCATTGTATACTGGTTCACATGAATTTTTAACTCATACATTTGATTTTTTTACATTTTTAATAAGTTGTTCTAAAATATTTAGTTGTATTTCTGATATTTCATCTGTAAATTTGTTATTATCAAAGTATGTTTCTTTATCTTCTATTCAAAAATTATTAAACAATGATTCATTAAGTCTTTCAGTATTTGATAATTTGGATATTATTTCTTTGGAGCTTTTTTCTTTTTTCCAATATTTCATAATAGCATCTTGGGACTGTTTAGTACATTTGTTTAACTTTGATATAATTGTTTTTTTAAAAAAAAAAGTGAATAAAAAAAAGGTGAATAAAAAAAAAGTGAATAAGAAAAATGATAAAAATTCATTTTAAAATGATTAAATATCATATATTAAATT